GGTTCCGACGGAGGAACTATTCTTATTCTCGATATTTCTGCATTCGCTGCAATAATGAATCAATCTGAGAAGCATGTATTTCATTTTGGCTCATTTACTAGTTTGAAGTGCTGTCATATATCGTCCCCAGTGCGTCTTTACGAAGTAATAATGTGTTTCGCTCTTCCCAAGAGTATGCATCACCGATTCGGTTGCTCCTGTAGATAATGCGGAAGTCTGCACAGGGCTGTGTATTCACTATTGACAGCTGTGGCAATCGAGTACCTTTAATTATGAATCAGTTCAGTCCGCCTACACGCCTCTGCTAGTGTACAGTGCAGTCAAATAGCTGCTAGTCATTCCAGTTAAGGACTCAATTATTTCGCCCAGCTTCCGGGTTCACTTTAAGAGCGATTTGCAGCTGGAACGCATTGCTAATTTTCTCGCCCTTTTAATCTCAAAACAAATTCAGTCAAGTCATTAGTTCTTTTAGATACATTTCAGTTCAAAATTGTTCTTTGCTGTCTCGAATTTATTGGCCTTCCGGAACTGGTTCTATTATTTAACCCAGAAAGTGTCTAGTTCTGACACTATTTGACATTTATTTTCTGCGAAACTAGAACTGTTAGGGACTAAACCGGCGACGTCGTTTTTTGAAGGATTCAAGGCTTTAGTTTTTGATTCTGTTGGACGTATCAAATTTTATTACAATTCACAACAAATATCTGTTTTGACTGCAGTAGGATGTGACCCGTAATCTTGCGTCTGATCAGACATTATCGTCACACCTTGAGAAAATTGATTCTCAATTTTCAAATTATGCCTTCAATGAAAGTTAGTCTGAGATAAAAAGCCTTAAGATTTATATGTCGGCAGTGATGAGCCGACGATTCGATGAGCCGATTTTTCGCGCAAGTTCTGATCAGAAGAGAAATATTTTACTCTTATATAGTAAAAGGGTGCCAAAGGCCAAACCGATGACGGAAAATAACAGCACTAAAACGAAGCCATTCTCGTATTAACGGTTATTATCATTACATTACTCGAAAAAAAAATTTGAAAAATGCTTTGCCAAAGAGAATTGAATTCGAAAAGTTTTATACCGTTTTGCAAAAGAATATTTAAATCCTAAAAATACGCGGCATCGTGAAATTTTGTAAATTCCATGATTATTTTATGAAATGCAAAAATAAAACTGCTAAATTTTAATATCGCTTGTTTTCGGGCAGAAAAGTGAAAAAAGGACTTAATGTTTTATCAATGGTTATTGCACAATACATCAACTGTATAATTATTATTGCCACAATGAATTTGAGCTTCAAATAACGTAAGAACAATTAAAATTGAATGAAGCCAGAATTTACTCGTTCCTTACAGGTCAGCCACAGTTTTGAAAAGTAGCTAAAAGTTTGTCTTAATTTCTGTATTTGTATATGAACTACATCTCGGCGGTAGTCAGTGAAATTCGGCCCATATCTAAACACACAGTTGGGACCAATTTTTTGCAGTTTGGAAAAGTTCAAAAGGTCACCACGAATCGTAATCAGAGGATAGCTTTTTTGGCTCCAAATTCTTGTTTGGTTTTTACCTGGCTTTATTCGCCATAAATTTGCACGAAACTGAAATTTTTGGTCTACCATGAATTACGTACCGTGCTCGGCTTCTACTTTTCAAAATTCATTTAAAAGGACTGTTTGAAAGGTTGACATTAAATTATGACCGATCTGAGGAAAATCAAAGTTTCCATACAAACTGCAGAAAATTCAACATCAAGGTTTTGCAAAAGTGGAAAGGCAGCGAAGTAAATGACGACTTTCGCTGTCCTCTTGAGCGACCAATAAAATTTAAATTCTGACGCAACTGTTTTGAAAATTTTCAAGACTTTTTATCTTTATCTAGAAAAATAACAGAGCCAAACCGTTGCGTGCAGCGCGGTATGATGATGGTAAATATTCTTCAGTTCTTACAAGCAAACTGAAACCAGATCTAATGCTCATGCAAAGCAGTTGCTCCTTCCTTCTTACTTCTGTAAAATTTTTTTTCACAACTGCAGGTGTAAAAAAAGGAAATACATAAGGCATCAAATGGTAAAAACAATACGTGAATCACTGTAATGCAAACTGTATCTGCTGCACTGTCGAATATACAAAAATTATAAGTTGAAAAGCACAAATTTGAAAAATCGGTAGCATTTAGAGTGGAAATGAACAAAATAAGATCTTGTCATCGCAAATAATTCACAAGTGCCAGTGGAAAACAAAACTAGGAGAATATGTGTGTTTCTTTTACGCCTAGGATCCATCCTAATGGTACAGCAAATTACCAGAGTTTCAGTGCCACAGGTATCGTAAGTCTGGATATTGAACTTTGTGGACAAATATTGCACACACACAGGCACACGCATATACACACACAGGCAGCTCTCCTACAATGCACTTATTGTGCGAATGCAAAAAAAAGAAAAAAAAACGCATAAAAACTATACAAATTTTTCATTGTACTGGCATATTACAAAACATTTTCTGCAACTTTCTGTTCAGATCTGCAAAGTCCAATGGCACCCGTTACGCACTGAATGAATCGTGAAATAGTCGCAAAATTCTGGATTAGATTGGCTTTTTCAAGTAGCGAATTTGATATGCTACGCTGACGAAATTATCAGCGAAGTGTTTTGGATAAATAACGCCTTTTTTGAAAGAAAAGTTTAGAATTATTGCTCCCTCTTAGAAGCGATGTCAGTTTATCATTAACATTCAGGTTTCGTAAGCGCTGCTAATTTTTTCAGAATTAATTGCTTTAGGCAAAACACAATTTCGAAAAACGTCCTCAATGTGGCACCATTTTACGAAACCGAATGAAAATTAACAAAAAAAAAAAAAAATTCATGCACGTTTAATCATGCTGTAAGCAACGGATAAAGGCCCGAGCATTGCAGAATCACGACTGCAGCATGCCGGTCAATTTTTGGCAGGCAGAGACGTTGTGCTGAATTCTGTGTACTAGTCTCGGTGCGCTGATTAACGAGTGGAAATGTAGTGAAACTGTGCGTCTGTGATGATCAGCCCGCAACAGGAATTTCGAGACAAGCAGCGCAGGCTGCATCTCGAGAGCACTGGCGAAGTTACACGACAGTTTTACGGTCTTGGAGATTATGACATAAATAAACGAAAAATTCACATCCTGTCGCCAGGAAATGAAGAATGCATGTGCAGTAAGGCTGACCAAATTTTGAGTGAGGCACTGCCGAGCAATTTGCATTTGCTAATATTCACCTGACTGCGAAATTTCACAAATTCGGTAAAGAATTCGGATTACTGGAACTGAAAAATGGAAAGGAAAAATTAAATCAAATATTAGTGTTTTGATTAAAAAAATGACTCGCTAATGACTAGGTGAATAAAGAGCAGAAATATCGTTTCGAGTGGCACGTACTCATTCGGCCCATTGTTTTAGAAATTTTATGAAGACCACATTCGATGCATGAACTCATCAATAATGGCCCTCCGGCAGCATGTGTAACTTGCTATATTCCTTTGCGTTGTCTTGAAATAATGCATTACCAAATTTGAAAGAACGTAAGTCTATTCTTCCGTGTACGTCCCATCGAAATTCATGGAATTACTCTGACTCCCACTGATCGAAAGTACCGAAAAAGACTCATAAAGTGAGCGCTACCTGTACAGTGTTTGCTGGTAAGGATATTCGTTCAAAGTGTTGCCTGGTTGTGCAGCATACATATTATTATACATGCTGTAGTTATCGATTAGGCTTCCGATCCGGAACGCACTTGGCGTTAGAGCAGGAAGGGTAGTCTGCGACAAATCAGGTACAGCCGCCATTGCGCCATTGGAGTACAGCCCGAATGACGGATACTGACTTGCATATGGGCTCATCTGGAATTCGAATCTTTAGCTCAGATACGATTGATTTTTGAAAGAGTATAACAGTAACCGGGTGATAAGGATAATAACACGGTAATAAGGTCCCTAACGAAGTAGCAACAGAAATACTGAAGTAATGGTGATTAACAGTAAGCGAAGTAAGGAGATTTGAAAATCCATATTT